TTTAGCAGTCCAGACCAAGAATGTCCCAGTGCTGCAGTTCTAGAGGTCATGCTGGAAGCCGGTCCTGGTCAGGGATCCAGAACAGACAGAAACAGACAGGAACAGGCAGGGTCCAGATCAGGCAGGAGCAGAAACAGGTGGCAGGATCCAGACTTCCAGGCATCCACAGGCTCCCAGGAGGGTTCAGAATCTGACTGGGACCAGAAGCATGACCAGGTGGTCACGCACAGGAGCAGACAGGATCAGGTGCAGACAGGCAGGCTCAGTGGAAGAGGGTAGCCGAGACAGGACGTAGAACCGGAACTTGAAGCAGGACTTTAAACTGGTCTCCTCCCTGGAGCCAGGCTTACTTTGATAAAAACTGAACCTCCCCACATATTGAGCCAAAAACCCAGAGGACTCCACGGGGGAGGAACAGTGGACGATCAGGAGACGAGACAAACACTAAAACCCTCTTTCCACTGGCAGCTAGGATCCAGGACATGAACCATCAAACTGAACAGACAAACTAACATGTCTAACTCGTGTTAGATACTACTCGTGTTACATGTCTAACATGTCTAACCCACGTGCAGAAGACCAAACAAAGAGACCAGGTAAAATTAGAACTAACAAAAAGACAAGCAATGATCTGGCACTGAATGCTCAGGCTGAACTGAATATAAACCAGAGGAAACAGGTGAGAGGAATAAATTATAATTTAGGCAGGGAGGGAAAATGGCAGGTGAGAGGAATTACTAATTAGGGAGGAGCAAACAGGCCAGATCATGACAATAAAACTGAAAAAAGTCACCTCAGCCTCTCTGACTCTGCATTTGGGTCCTCAAACCCCAACCTAACCCTGAAAGTGGTCCTCCTACTGTAATTATCAATCATTCTGTTGATATGTTTAAATCATGTCATCCTACGTGCTTGTCCCATAGCGGAAGAAATGCTAATCTTTTTTGGAAGGACTTGTATGAGTGATAAAAACAGCCAATTTTAAACAGAACGTGCACAAGAACAAATGGGCTTGTGCATGCTCTCGCACACATATAATATGCGTTCTCCCTCTCAGGAACAGGTACAGCATTTCAAAGTTTGAACTCTCTTGATAAAATGACGGCAGAAATTTCATTGTAAGGTCCACTTTTTCACATTGTTAGCCAATTTTTTAGGTCAAACAGAACAATGGTTTCACCCGACCCTATAATTTAGATGTAGAAATGTAATCTAACAAAGGACTAAGACTAAGACTGAGTATTATTTCATAGTCTAGCCCAGAGGTTGGGGATTAGCGGACCGCGATCCTGATCTGGACCCACCCGCTGGCTAATCCGGACCCAACCTTTAAAACATTTATAAACCACATGTTGTCTGATGGCAGTGTCCAACTTCACTTGTGCCGCTTCTCCTGTTACCCTGAAATCCCACATCCTCCGTCTCCGCTCCAGACCGCCTGCGCAAAGCCTACAGCATCCGNTGTCCAACTTCACTTGTGCCGCTTCTCCTGTTACCCTGAAATCCCACATCCTCCGTCTCCGCTCCAGACCGCCTGCGCAAAGCCTACAGCATCCGCTGGTCTTCCTGCATTGCTGCGTTCCAACTTCTCCTCGGAGCTCAAGGAGAGTATGCATGATATTATTTTTAAATTTGTCGGAGCAAAACATGCAGAAATTAACGCTTAATTTAATATGACATAAAAAAATCCCCATCAGCATCCAGCATATTTGCGGTTTCTGATGGAGATAAGAAATCTGCTTGCTGGTCTGTTGAAGTGCCAATTGTCATGATTTATCTAAGATCTGACCCACATGCAGAAGACCAAACAGAGAGACCAGGTAAAAGTTTAACAGGTTTTATTTTGAATAGGTTGAGAAGAGTTCAGTGCTGCTCTTAACACTGCCGAATCGGGACTGATAAGTAAAGGGAAAGATTCTGCGGTTAGTTCAGGCTCACTGGGAAATTTGTGTCTTTGACTTGAAGAAGGGAATTAAGGCAACAGGACTCACGTTTTCAGAAAAAGGTGTCTCTTGTTGAATCCAGTCAGTGTGGGCTGTTCCATTAAAGACTTGCTTGTTGGAGGGCGGACATGGTTTAACCAGGTTGAGGTGTTTCCTTGAGGAACGGAGGAGCTGACTGCCACTTAGATTTCCTGCTGTACTTGAACGGTTTCTTGTGGAGATAAATCCCCTGCTCAGAGAGAAGCCCAAACAATCCTTGGGGAAAAGTTGATCCAAATCACCAGTTTGAATCTTCAGCTCAGTTTGACGCTCAGAGAATCCTTCCAGGGGGGGGGAGGTCCAAAACATCTAGTTTGCAGGATGACTTCCTGCCGAGAGGCAAAGACAAAAATAAGGCTAACAAGGTTAAGACTCAAGTGACAAAAATTCAGTTTGACTCAGCGAAACTCAGCTTGGCTAGAGTACCCAAAACTGACAAACACTCTGGCCTCGAGGTAGTGGCAGTCAGCAGCTTAAGAGTCCTCAGGTAATGCAGGTGTGCAGGGAGGCCCAATGAGGACGGGCACCACCTGGTGGAAGAGAAAAGGAAACACAAAAACAACCCACAAAAACTGGATTCCTGACACCAATAGTTTGCATCCAATCTTTTAAATAATTGGTGTTAGTTTTTCAAATATATATAAGAATTATGCTCTA